GAACTCCTCTCTTTCAGCCTGATAATTGTTGGTCCGATTATCCACTTTTACTTTTAAAATTTTAGTTATCCCGGATCAATGTTGACATTATTTTTTAACAATAACCAAAAGATGAACAATATTGTGTACTTTAATTCGCGTCTATGTTTTTATAATTTTTTTTAAAAATTTAACCTGCGTAAACACACGCGATATTGTGTAATTCTTTTGTCATTATTGTACATTTAGTATTTTTTAGAAAATACATATTTAACCTATGAGCTAAATTGTAATATATTAAAATTTCTAAAATTGCAACTAAGTCCCTAGATTTGTCTAATTTTCAAATGGAAGTCCAAGTTCCAATTATTAAATCTCGTCTCCCACAGAGCATATGACCTGGCTCGTACATCAATTAGCCATCTTACAGTCTGCCTTCACTCTCCCGTCGACTTCCTACCACTGCGGCATCGCCGGCGAAGGCGGCACAAGGTCCAGCGGCGGCGAAGGCGACCTCAAGATCTGAATCTCCGCTCCCTCTGTCGCCTTCAACTACGATTGAATCGAGCTCCCAACGATCTCACAGTCCAACAGCTGTACAACTCTGACTATATCCTTTCCCATGACCGCGTCATCGTCATTGGCGGCAGCTGTGCCTTCAGCTATGAGATTTGGGGTGGTGGCGATCGGCGGGAACAGCGGGCAGACGGCATGATCGGTGGCGGGCAACATGACCGGCGGCGAGCAGAGGTGCCGGCAAATTTGCAACTCTGTGTGTGTGTGTGTAAGTGTGTGATGTTTGTTTGTTGTGTGTGTATAAGTGTGTGTGATGTGTGTGTAGAAGTGTGGGAGAGAGAGAGAGAGAGAGAGATAATTAATGGTGGGTGGTCGTGTGTGATGTATGCGTAGAAGTGTGTGAGAGAGTGTTAATTAATGGTGGGTGGTGTTGGGATCTGTGAGGATGTCGACAATGTACAAGTCACGGACTATCTACGAATTAAACCCTAAGCGCAGCGGAACTAGAAGCGAGGGTTCAACGCGTACCATTTAATATTTTTTGCCGACTCAGAGACGTTTCGGATTTTCGTTGAAGGAGATCGTATGAGTCTCATGTCCGTTAGACAGCCAGACCTGGCCTCGTCATCACCATCGAATTGTTCACCGTCCACGTCTAACCATTCCGGACCTCCATTGACTTGGTCAAACCTTCCGAACCTCAACTTGGACTCAAATCGGGTCCTGGACCCTTACTAAACCGGTCTGGACCGGATCTGAGCCGAACCAAACCGCTGGACACGAGTTGGGCAGGGTCTTGTCGCGTCTGGGCCGACTGGCGCTGGTGGGCCGCGCGCTGGGACGAGCTGGGCCGC